ATGTGGCGAGCGTGAAATAGTAAACGAGCAGTAAGTATCGTGATAGATTGTTTGTTAAAACGTAGTACGATAGCGGAGTCAATGGAAGACGAGGTTGCTCAAACTATCTTTGCAAAAAAAGAAAAGTAACAAAAAAATACATATATATATATATATATACGTATATTATATAAATATAAAGAAAAGAAACAATGTTAGGGAAGAGATAACGTAAGAGAGAAAGAACGAAAGAAAAATATAGGGGAAGATGTAAAAATACAAAAGAGATAGAATAATTTATTTTTCGAAGACGAATCCAGGCTGGTCCTGCGTTCGAGCGTACACACGAATACGAGAACATAGTTTTTCAATTGTACACACCACGAGTATATATATTTTATCAAAGAGAGAACAGAGATATATATCGACCAATAAAAGGTTGTGAATGGAACGAATTTTTACGACGCTGCAAAATGGCGGACCGCGCAACATGCTCGCTGCTCGATCTTGCGAATCGATAGCGATCCTCCCTTCTTTCCCGGTCGAACAATGCAAGCACGAAGCCGGGATAACGAGCCAGGGAACTCTGTATAGACGCGCAAAATTTCCACGAACGATATTGGAAAATAATTGTCTGGCGGAACAACGAGCCGAGAATAAAGAAAAGTATCTTCGCTACATACAGAGCGGTTCGAAGTAATCGCTGTGGCAGGAACAAAAGGATCATCGCGTACGAATGAGCTGAGCTCACCAGATTCTGCACGGAATTGCTTCACGATCGCTGTTAACGCTCGTCGGCGATTTGAGATTTACTCGTATTATCTTTCTTAACCGTGACTGAATTATAAATCTCCCTCTTCCTTCGCCGTGAAAAAAAAAAAAAAAAAAATACTGTTACGAATGAATAATTCGTACTTCGTGAAAGATAAACAACAGAGATCGAAAAGATTGAGGAACCTTTAAACGGATTCCGTTTGAAACCATAGATCGTAGAGCTTTTTCGAAAAAATGTTCTTACATTGCAAGTCCCGATGAGAACAGGTAAATAAATCTTCTCGAAGAATTTCAGACAGAATAAACTGTACGAAATATGAAAATGAAAATTTTTTGCTATTTTTTTAATACTTTGATTCCATTGTCACGATATTTGTTTCCATGGAAATTTTCCATGACAACATTTCTTTCTGAGGAAAAGAAAACAAATCTACAGAAACAGATATCTTTCTGCACGAAATACATAAATCATAAGGTGGAAAATCCTTTAAAAACCGGGAAGAACCTGTTAATTTCAGCCGCTGGCAAATAGTGAACCGATTCATTGTAAATCGAATTCGTTTACCTCGGCGTGCCGACGTAACGAGTATCGCAAATATTTAAACTCGTCAAGTTCCGCAAATACGATACTAACAGCGCATGAAGTTTAATTATACGACGTGACACATACGTGTGGTTGCCTGTTACTTACGCATACGTAGTGCACTGTCATACGGCGGCTATAGCGTGCTTGTTTGCTTGCGGTAAATGTACGAAATGAATAACGCGCTCTCGATGGTGATCTTCGTGAAATCCACCGAGTGTGAAATCAAAACGTGATCTCTTTCGTGCTTTCCAAGTTAACTTTCTCTCTCTCTCTCTCTCTCTCT